AGCAGGGGATGCTTTAGGGCGGGGCTACACGGTGATTGACAGGTCAGCAAAATATATTTAATAATTAAGCAACGTTTCAACATGGCCGTCTTCTTAAAAGCATGATGAATGACACTTCCAGCCGTCAGCTGTCACTCAGTAATACCTAAACCTGTGGTGTAACATCTTAAAGGAGGCGTTAAGCCGTTTTCATCCAGGTGGGTGTTTCCTCCCAGAGCTCCTGTCCAGTAATGACTCAAGTGGATCAGTGTTGAGGCCGAGGCTTAATCTGAAGGTCCATCTGCTCCCGGTGTTCCACACTCGGTCCCACCAGGCCTGATGGATTAAACAGCACAGTGAGCCTTGAGCTCGGGGGGTTTGGGATTAAATACAATCTTGTGGTCGCTGATTCTTCATTATTCCTGAACACAGACAGCCCTGTTTCCAGCTTTGTGACGATTGTTTTTCAGATAATTAAATGTTTTTAAATGGTATAGTAATGTTAAGAAGTAGGAGGATTTTCTCTGTTTGACTCTAAATGGACCATAATGTACTAAATGAACATCATGCTGTATTGAGGAAGACTTGAAACTAGAGACTGAGACCATAAACTCATGTTTACTGAGGTAATAAATAAAGAGAGTAGTCATTTTCTCATAGACTTCTATACAACCAGAGGAGTCGCCCCCTGCTGGACACTAGAGAGAATGCAGCTTTAACACATGAAGCTTTGCCTTCACTCTTCAGAGCCGAAGGTTGTCGCCTGGCTTTAACAAACGAGAACAAACAAAGATGTCCACCAGACTTCCCCTCTTGACACAGTGTGACTATAAGCTCAGTGCAGAGTCATTGAAAGCAGCAGCAGCTAAACAGCTGACTCAGCTACAGTGCGTTTCTTGCCGGATCTTAAAGTTCTGTGTTTAATGTCGTTTCAGGACTACAAGCCAGAAGAAGACCCGGCTCTGTTCCACTCCGCCAAGAAGGACAGAGGACCTCTGGGCCCCGACTGGAAGGTAACCCAACGTAGAAGCGTGAAAGCAGAGCTGCACCAGCTGCTGGACGCCATGTCCTCTGTCACATGATTAATGCTCTCGCCTCCCGTCCTCCACAGAACGAGCTGAAGACAGACTGTCCCTACATGTGTGCGTACAAACTGGTCACAGTCAAGTTCAGGTGGTGGGGCCTGCAGACCAAAGTGGAGAACTTCATCCACACGGTAAAGCCTCATATCTCTTCATGTCAGATCACTGGTGTTTATACTTATAATGCAGTATTTGTGTTGTTTATAATGACTCATCTGCACCAAACTACACTAGAACATGGTTTGAGCATATTTCAGATACATTGAACAGTGTGTACTTTGCACTTCTTAGTTTGAACACTAGATGTTGCTGCCATCATGAACAGCTGTTTGACCTACAGTCATTACTACTAGTTGGTTATTTAGGTAAACAAGACAGGAGATGGTGAGTGAGAGCCAGAAATGAGTCGTTTTTCACAGAAGTGTGAAATAAGACACCATGGACTCAGTTTGTTCACAGGCTGAAGGGTTTCCAGGTCTACAAATACTGATTCTCTTGCAGCGTAACTTCTCTCATTTATAAAACATTGATCCACACTAAATATTTGTGGAAATGCACACACGCCGAGAAATATTGTGATTTCTCAAACCTTGCCTGCCTGTGTGCAATTTCCTCTTCATAAATCCCACCTCCCGTCCTCTACACGCCCACATTCAACCATAAACCGCCACGCAAAGCACCTCATGAGTGTTGATGCGTAGAAACAACCGTTATAAATGAGTTTATGAATTACTTTGATTTTCTGTGTCCATGAAGTGTTGTTTCTGTTCTGGACACCAGAGGGAGACATGGCTTCTCTTAAAGTTCTCTTAAAGTTGAAGGGCGTAAAAGTAAAATGTACTAAAGCCTAGTTCAGCTCATTCCAACATGGACTGAAAGCAGGAAACGAGTCTTGTTGTTGGTTGTGCAGAAGCATAATTATTTTACGTATTCCCTCCACAGCAAGAAAGGCGTATTTTCACCAACTTCCACCGCCAGCTGTTCTGCTGGATTGACCGATGGGTGGGTTTGACCATGGAGGACATCAGGCGGATGGAGGAGGAGACCCAAAAAGAGCTCGAGGAGGTAAATGCAGATCTACACTGGACCGGACCGTCTTCTTCCTGCTGTGGTGGTTGATGTTGAAGAAAGTATCTGAACAATACAGTTGATCTCTTTGCATGTTTCCAGATATTCTAAAAGTCAAGGAGCTGTCTGTTGTGAGTGCTGAATGTTGTGTTTGGACCAGACAGCTGGAGAGGAAACAACATGCTCCATGTAACCCTTTCCCTCCTGACTCCTCTGACTAGATGCGTCAGAAGGGAGATGTGCGAGGCACCTCTGCAACAGACGTGTAGAGGCGGGCGCTGTAGGTCAAACACACTAGAGGCAGGCTGAGTAAGTCTCCTCGCAGGAGGGCTGGAGCTGCATGGATCCCTTTCCGCATCCTAACTCCGCTGTCTTCACTTACTTGCTTTTCCACTTCATGTGTTTGGTGCTTGACATGTTTCTCTTTCAGCGCTTTGTGTTCTTCCCGTTCTGACCCTCTTGTTTTCATCTCGTTCTAAACGTTCATCGACTCACTTTTGTCTTTCTCACTCTCGTCTTAACGTTCTCTTCCAGCTCGATGCTCGTCTGCACTCCGTTTGTGTTGCTCTGTGTTTTGTGATCATGTGACTAATGTCGGGCTGCACCCAACACTTCATTCATAACGCTGACATTTAACTTCTTAATCAACGTGTGAATATTATGCAGCTTTGTTGTTGTTGTTTAAAGCCGGTATTTCTTGCAGATAGAAATCTGGCTGCACTAATATTGTTAGTTGTGTGTGTGTGTGTGTGTGTGTGTGTGTGTGTGTGTGTGTGTGTGTGTGTGTGTGTGTGTGTGTGTACATACACACACATACATTAGTCACAATGGGATTTCAAAGCTTCATTGAAAAAGATTTGAATATATAAAAACTAAAGATGTTCGGTGCAGCCCGAGAACAAACAGCCGATTGCTCACGGATTTAAACATCTCTCTGTCGTCTCTTCCTA